TAGAGGGGCCTTCTGCTTGTGGACTGGCAAATTCAGTAGTTTCTTCAAGTCTTTGCTGGGAAAGAAAGACTGACGGAAGCCCTTTGGTGGCTGAGGGAGAACTCCAAAAAAGAAAAAAGCGTAGCCATTAGAGCAGAATGTTGAAAACTTTATGCAAGAAAGCAAGAAAATTTGTGAAGGGTGGCCTTTACCAGCTCCTTCCCCGAAAACTGTTCGACTTAGGGGATAAAGATGGAGGTCATCGTTTGGTTGAAACTCCCAGTTACCCGAAACGATGAAGTAATCATCCCCCGCTCCCTTGTTGGAGCCAAGGAGGTCGGCAACGATTTTGTATTCCGTGGACCCCGGCTTGAGGTAATAGATGTGCCCTTTTCCCGATTTCAGGCGACACATGGTATAACAGTACTGGAAATCGGCAAGAATAATCCTAGCATTCTCTTGTTTGGCTAAGGCTATGGTACCATTAATAACTCGGTAAGAATTGATGTCAAGCTGCATTAGGTTCAGCCTATAGAAATGAAGGATTTCACGGAAAAAAGGGTCAAGTGGAAACCCAAGTCCACACTCAATAAACGCTACTACTGGGAAACGTATGAGGTTTACATCGGGCATGATAGAGTCATCCTCCCCAGCCAACCTCAGATGAACGTCAGTTGGGATTTTGAACTCTTGCCTAAAGTGCTCTAATTTGGCCAGGGTGTCTACCCTATGCTTCCACATACCCATGATATCTGCTTAAACTGAAAGGGTTGGATTTCAGAAGGGTGTGTTTCTAAAGGGTTTTATGGACCTCGGCTATAGCTAGAAGATACAAAAAATCTTTGGGGAATCGTTTCAATTTTCCCTAACAATTGTTTTGAGTTCTACAAACAAATCCCAAGCCTAGATCTATGGAAACAAAGATTGAAGGCACGAATCTGGAAAACAGAAAAGCAAGAATGCGCTTCAGAATCAAGAACAAAGATGGACTATCAAGAACATTGTAAATACGAAGGGTAACAGGCCAAGAGTAGTGGCAGAAATCAACATGAGTGTGAATAGTGTATATTCAAGAAGATGATTTGGGTAAAAACAGGATCATGAAACAAACAAGTTCAAATATATGGTGGAACACAAAATGCAAGATGAAATATCAGAAATATGAACAAGATTGCAAAGACAGCAGGTAAAACAGTAAAATTCAGTAAGGTAACAAGAAACTGAAACCAGAAGGAATAGTGGCTTACCAGAAAAAAGGAAGCCGGAATGGGGATTGCCGAAGTCTGATGACGGTTGCGAAGGCGAAAGATCGTTAAAAACCATGCCGGAAGAGGTGAACAACAGCGATGGCAGAGCTTGAAAGCTTGAAACAATGGAATATTTGAAAAAGCTAGAGAGAGAGAAAGCTTCAGAGACGATGGAGAAAAATGAGAAAATAAGAAAAGAAAAAGTTTTGTTAAAACTTGAAACGGCGGCAAAACAGAATTAATGCGCCTAAAACAACGTGAGCGTCAGACGGTGCATGCATGCGCGAGACGATTAAGAAGCACGTACCAAGTACGATCTAGTAAGAGAATGACACGTGGCTGAAACGGTTGAATTGTGATGCATGACAGCTCATACGCGTGAAGAAGCTCTTGGAATTCTTGATCTTTAAGAAGACATGTCGGCCTATAGTGATGAGCTCGGCTTAAGCCGATGTACTGGCAGGAAGTACCGATATAGGTTCCATCACCTTAGAATGCCATGCCGAGGTAATAGAACCTAGGGGGCAGTTGTGGGGATATATTTTCTGAGCCCCAACACGTGGCCAAGGTGACGCCGAGGTGCCAGCCGAGGTGCCATGTGTCCAGGTTATGACGCTGAGGTGATCTCAGCAAGGCCGAGGTTATCTCCGAAGATATCGGAATCCGAGATAAGCGGATAAGGGACGAGGGTCCAAGAATAAGGAAGGACTTTAGCATGGATAAGGATAAAGTTCTTAGGGAGTTTATCTTTATCTCTTGGAGAGTCCAGGATAAGCACTGAGCAAGAGTCCATTGAAGCTAGGCTTCTAGTGGGACAAGGATTGAGTTAACTATAAAAGAGAGGCACCCCCGATGGGTCTAAGGTACGCAATTTATATTCTGAACAGTGAGTTTAGCACTATTGATTATCTTTGAGAGATATATTGACTTGATCGTCAGAGTGCCCCCGGGTGGACGAACCACCGCCGGAATCTTCTATTTCTGTTGCAGGTCAACCAGGTGTCATCTATTTTGCCAGTACTCTCTAGCTGAATAACTAAGTTGGCAGTGTGATCAGAAAATTACTCACACAAGCCTAATTGCTAACAATAACCAATTTCATTGACCTATTTTTTGGTGATCAATTCATAGGAAACCCATAAGAGGTCCATCTAAAGCTTCCTTGACTGGCTCTTTCCATCAAATCTAGGATGGTTGAGTTTGCTGGGAACTCCCTTACACCGACATCTACAAAACCAAAATACCAAAATCACATGTTTACTCAGAATTTTAATTCAAAATTCAACATTAACAAAATTCAAAATTCAACATTAACAAAAACTTTGAATCAATCACCACTATTTGAACATTAACCAGAACTTTATCAATCTCCCTTGCTTCTGCTCATCGATTAACCACAAATTTATCAATTCATCATTCTCATAATATATATATAAATGTATATCAATTCATCATTCTCCAGAATTTTCATTCACAACTCAAAATTAACCAAAACTTTGAATCAATCACCACTATTTGAACATTAACCAGAACATTATCAATCTCCCTTGCTTCTGCTCATAGATTAACCAGAAAATTTTCAATTCATCATTATCAAAACATATATATAAATGTATATCAATTCATCATTCTCAAAAATTTATCAATTCATCATTCCCAGAAATTTATCAAATCATCATTATCAAATCATTTTCAATTTATTAATTCATTCTCAGAAATTTGCCTAAATATATATATATATATACATATCAATCTAGCATCACTGATTAAAAAAATTACATATATAAATGTCTATATATATAAATGTATATAGAGGACAGAGGGACGAAGATCACTCACCTGGTAATGCTTTACGGTGGACGATGAAGATCGGTGACAGAGAAGACGCCGGACGGTGGACGATGGAGAAGATGACGGATGGTGGAGGAGAGGAGAGGTAGCGGACAGATCTGCAAATGCTTTCAACGCGAGAGAGGAAAGCCTCAAAGGGAGAACAAGACAGAGACGGAGAGGCGAGGGACAGCGGAGGAGAGAGAGATCTGGAATAGAAGGACAATACCTCTGTTTTACCGATGTTTTACAATTGCACGGGATTTCAATTTTTTTTTTCTTAACACAGTGCGTGAACACACGCACTATATGTGCAACTATCCTTCATCGTTCTTGGTTGGCTGCCACATGTTTAGAGCTTCTTTTAGAGCCTCTAAATTGGAGGGTTGAATCGGGATTGATAAATTATTGACTTTTTAATTTTTTTAGTAACTTTTAACTTTTAGGCTAAAAAATAATATTATCAAACGAGGCCTAAATAATACTAAAATTACGACACCACCTACATTTGCCCATGGGGGCAATGAATAATTTCTTGAAACTAGTCTGATATTATGAAGATGCGGTTGAGATCAAGAGGTCCCAAATATTTTCATATCATCATACGGAGACATAGATAATAATTAGGTTAAATTATTAATAAGTTTTAATAATTGAACTTAATTCTCATCAAATTTTATTGAAAATAAGTTTTAGTACAATTGTTATTAAAAATAATTTTTTGTGACGATTTTTTATATATGTCGCTAAAAATTGATAATTAGTGATTTTTTTTTTATCATGTTTTTTATAAATTGTCAATAAAACTTATAACTAGTGATGAATTTTTTAAAATGTCCCTGAAAGTTGAAAATTAGTGACATTTTTTTATGATGTTTTTTTTAAATTGTCGCTAAAACTTATAATTAGTGACACTATTTGTGGCAATTTTTAAACTGTTGCTGAAAATTAACAATTAGTGACGTTTTTTGATAGTATATGATGAAAAATATCATTAATTATCATAGGACCTATTGGATAATAAGTCTACTTAATATGACCTAAACATAAGTCTCCCAATAATTATTGTATGGGGCTCCTCTCAAGCCTTGAGATTGAGGAAAGGGAGAAGTTATTCGGTGGTGCTACATGCACCAATTAATGTACACATTAGTATACCAGCTAGTGTTATGTCATTATTACTAACCCCACCTATTATACAAAGTATAAATACCCAAAACTTCTAAAATTATGCCACGCCATCTGTTTGTATACTAGCATTATTCGAAGTTATTTGGTGGTTAGATGTATTGCAATTAGTAAAGAGAGTGAGATCCATAATTATGTGTTAGATGATTAGAAAACACAAAATGATATAGTAAATTATAATTGGTTAGAGATATGGTCACATAATATTCCTAAACTAACAAATAATTACTATAATTTAGATTAGGTTTAGGTCCCAAATAATTTCATGTCTAGTGTGATATTTTGAAGAAGTGGTTGTGATATGTCTTCCTAATTAAAATCATTGGCTACGTTTGGTTCAAGTGTAATATTTTGTGGTTGTGATATGTCTTCATAATTAAAATGTTGGATGCGTTTGGTTTAAGTGTGATATTTTGAAGATGTGGTTGTGATATGTCTTTATAATTAAAATTGTTGTCTTCGTAATTAAAATCGTTAGCTGTGTTTGGTTTAAATGTGATATTTTGAAGATATGGTTGTGATATGTCTTTATAATTAAAATCGTTGTCTTCGTAATTAAAATCGTTGGTTGCGATTGGTTTAAGTGTGATATTTTGAAGATGTGGTTGTGATATTTTTATGTTTATAGAGATATCATGAGTTTTTGTAATGACTCAAACCCGGTATTCAAAGGTTCGGTGTCGCAACAAGATAAAAATAAAATAATTTAAATAATTTTGTAGTAGTAGCGCAACAGATAAATTAAATAATTTAAAATAAAATAATTGGGTACCAAAAGTTTATTAAAAGAAACAAAAAATAGTCATTTGGGCCTTTATGTTATTACAAGAGTCCAGTCAAAATACAAATAGTACACAACAAAAAAAAGAAAACACTGTGATTTTTCTCCCATCTTGATCCTGCTAAACCTTGTCACCTGAAAGGGGTAACAGCTATAAGCACATAGTAGAGCGAGAAATATTATACTGTGAGTATAGGGACACAAAATAGCCATGGATAGTTATTTGAGCTAAAACATTAACATAATTTAAATTGAATAAATAAATTATTTAAATAGCAGAAACTGAAATACAGAAATTACGTAAATAACTATAACCACGGTACAGAACAGAACAGAACAGAACAGAACAGGGGTCACTGGAGTGACAATCAGAATAGGGTCAATGGATCCATGACAAATAGAGGATCACAAAGTGGCCAAACAGGGGCCAATGGTTTTTTTTTAAGTCCCCCAAGGTATGAGACTCCTGTGGTGGTATTTACAGAAAATAATTGTTTACAAGATTATTGTCAAATAATTTTTAAAATTTAAACAAACATATCCATGGATTTCAATTTAAGCAAATGGAGTTCAAAAAATAATCTACGTAATTGAAACATTAACATAATCATAAAACATAAATTATATAAAATAAATTGTGGTAATTCAAAATATTCGTAAAATATATTATGATAACTCAAGACATATAGAAAACATATTATGATAACTCAAGCTATAATATAACTCACCTTAATATTAATTCCTATTATTTATCCCACTCGATTATCTGAGTCGCACTCTATGCTCTTACTTTCGTTCCCGTTTGTTCTTTTTTTTTTTTTGCTCCTACGTTTTCACCTTCCCCCTTTTTATACTTGGCTCACATACCTGCTCAATATACAAAATTCTCCCCTACTATATAGGTGCCACAACTAAATGTTCTTAGGTGGCATGTTTAAGTGCCTTAAGTCCAAGCTTCTCTACACGTGGCTTAATCAACGTGTTATACACCTTTGTTGAGCCACCTGTAAGTTTGCCCCTTTGATTTGAACTCCTGGAATTTCCTAAGAGTCACGTAACTTTTGGCTCATGAAAACTGAATTTGGCTTCTCACAATTTTTATGGTTATTAGCCTCCTGGTAATTTACAATGATCCCTAAAATGACGTATAATTATAAGTTAGGTTCGCGTCTAAAAACCTTACCACCCAACTATAAAACATCGCTTACCACTTACTGAAATATTTAATATGCGGTGTCTCACAATTTATTTCCTTAACAATTGAAGCGATTAATTTTTATTCATTTATTATTATTATTTATTTATATATTTATTTATTATTGTTATTATTTTTTCTTTTTTTAATAATAAAGAATTCTATTTATTGCAGTATTGACTTAAATTTACAAATTCGAGTGTCACAGTTTTGTCTTGATAATTAAAATTGTTGGCTACGTTTGATTTAATTTTGAAAGATAATTTTTTTTTTAAAATTTGAAATTGAAAATAGTTTTGTAAGGTTGGAGTTTGGTTGATTTGTACTTTTTTTGTAGTCGAGGTCTCATTTAGGTAGTGCAAAAAAAGTCAACTTTTTAGGTTATTGACTGGTCCAAATCACATTTTTTTATTTTTTTACACGTCTTTTCATATATAAGTAAAGAAGCTAACTTATGTGTCATTAGAACTTATTGGTTAGTCGAGAGATAGTGTTACGTGGCACTCCACATGTATTGTGATTGGTGGAGCATGGGGGTTTGTGATTGGCCTAGTACACATAATCACGTGGTGCCTCAAGACCAGTAATGATAAAGACCCTTACAAAACGCAACCTCCAAAATGATCTGAGTCCTTCATGTCACTGTCAGACAAAACTCCTCAAAAAAAATCAAACACATCAATGGTCAATACATCAATAGGGGTCATAGGGGTTCTCTTTTGTCGGGGTTCCAAACATTTTCCGCCTCAGGACCAACCAATAATGTTTCATATGTCATATCTAAAACAACCCTGAATAGATGAGTGTGAAAGAAAAAGTAATTGATTGATGTGTAGAATGTAAGAAGAGAGAAAAAGTTTTTGATTGATGTTTAGGATGTAAGAGAAAAAGAAGTGAGATAGAAAAAGTGATTGAAAACAGTTTTGAAAAAATTGTAAACCAATCAAATTTTAGATTTTAAGCTCTTAAAAATTGTTTTCAAAACTAAACCAAACAAGGCCGTTTATTTTGTAAGATTTTTTGTATCTATTATTCTGAAAAAAAAAAATCACTACAAAAAAATTGCTTTTTTGCTATGGCAAAATGTCGTCGCAAATACTCAAAATGCCATCTCAAAAGGTTTTTTGCGATGGTAACTAGCCTTTTGCGATGGCTAGTGGGGGGTCGCAACAAAGGGGGTTGCAAAAGGGTTTTAGCAACGGTATAATGCCGTCGCAAAAAAAAGGCGACGGCAAAAATGCCTTTTTGCGACGGAAAAATACTGTCGCCATTAATGCGTGAAAATTTGAGTTTTTTTGAGATGGCACTATGTTGCCGTCGCTAAAAGGGTTATTTGCGACGGCACAAATACCATCGCTAAAGGGTTATTTGAGACAGCACTTCATGCCGTCGCTAAAGTACTATTGGCAACGGCAAATAACTGTAGACATCCCATCTTTTACTGTCCTCAAGGCTTGGACGTCACCGTTTGAACACTCGGTGATCATCCATGTTTGTGTTCGTAGGGGTGAGCATGGTTCGGATTGGACCGGATTGAGGTAAAACCAAGACCAATCCGTTATCTACGGTTCTTAAAAAATTGGAACCAATCCAATCCGTTTAAATCATGGAACCAATCCGAACCAATCCATTTAAATACGGATTGGATCGGTTTAGGACCACGGATTCACATAATTAAATAACAAAAATATATATATAACACTTGAATTTCATAAAAATATAAACATAGCGCTATATTAGTTCCATAATAGCAACATGTTTTTCTATAATAACGACATACTGTTCTAGAATTTAAACAACCATAAGAAAACTGGTTTCACCATAAGTATTTAGACCATTGCAAATTAAAACATTACAAATTAAAATTAAAAACTAACAAACAAAAGTAATAAAAGAAGATATTATACGGTTTTAGGTTTGAGTTTAGATTTCATATAGAATAAAAGAAGATATTATGGGGGATGATGTATAATAAAAATATAGACTATTTATATACGTTCCGGATCGGTTCCAATCCGGAACCAATCCGTGGACTACGAATTTTTAATTCTTCAATCCGGAACCGAACTGCGGATTCAAAAAATCAATCCAAATCTATCGGATTGGACTGGACTGGATCGGATTACGGATTTCACGGATTCCTTGCTCAGCCCTATGTGTTCGTCTTGAGTTCCTGGAGGTCTCGGCTACGCGCCTTGCCTCAGGATCTCTCGACTCGACTGTTTTGTGTTTGGTTTTGCACCAAATACTTGTGTTTTGCCTTTGAGGGGCAGGGAGTGGCTTGATGACCATCCCCACACATCACCGGCCATGGCTTGGGGTTACCGGCTGTGTTTTGTTGCCATCGGCCAAATATTTGGCCGGTCGGCACTCTATTTGGTCGGTCGGCCACTGCTTTTGGTCAATCGGCCACTTTTTCTGGCCGAGACCTTTTCTTGAGGGGGGTTTGAACCTTTTGAACCCTTGTTTTAGCTTCTTGAGGAAGCTTGAACCTTTCGAACCCTTGGTTTTAGCTTCTTGAGGAAGCCTGAACCTTTCGAACCCTTAGTTTTAGCTTCTTGGGGAAGCTTGAACCATTTGAATCATTGTTCTAGCTTCTCCAAAAAGCTTGAACCCTGGCACTAGCTTCTCCAAGAAGCTTGAACCTTTGTTTTAGCTTCTCCAAGAAGCTTGAACCCTTGTCTAGCTTCTCCAAGAAGCTTGACCCTTTTGTTCTAAGCTTCTTGAAGAAGCTTGGATCCTTTGACTTAGCTTCCCTTAGAAGCTTGCCCCCTTTGACCCTTTTGCCTTAGCTTCTCCAAGAAGCTTAGGCCTTTTTCCTTGCTCTATAAATAGAGAGCCTCTCCTTCCATTTCAAGGGTTGAAAAAATTGGTCCAAGACAAAACATATATCTCTCTTGATATCTCTACATCCAAGCCTCCAAAGTGCTTGGTTCTTGGCCCCTTTGCACCACAACTCCTAAGCACACACCTCCACCACTCATCTAAAGTTCTTGGAGGGTCTTGTGGGGACTCAAGACATGGTTTTGACTCAGAAAAATCTGCTAGAGTGCTGGTTTTGAAGAAGGTCTTCAAGGGTGAGTTTCTAAGCCTTAAATCCCCCTTTTTTGCTTCATATTTTACCCTTACTTGTAAGCATTTTTGAGCTTTGTCATAAACTAAAAAAAGTCTTATTTTGAGCTCCTTTTTAATTTTGTTTCAGAACACTTTTCTATTTGGGGTTGTTTACCCCCTCTTAGGCCTTGTTTGGCCTCATTTTTGTGCCTTTTTTGTGAGCTTCGGGACCACCTTGTATTGGCCCTCTCACCACTAAAATCCAGAGGAATTTCAGTGGTAGGGATGGTGTTTTAAGGTCCTAAGAAGGAGAGGGCCATCCCCTCTCCTTGTTGTCTTGTTTATTGCCTTTTTTGGCCTTCCAAAGGAGCATGCCTCTCTACATTTTTGAGGTTTAGTTCAGGCCATTTTTTGTGTGACTTCTAGGGCCTGCCTTGGCCCTGTCCATGGCTGGTTTGATCATATTTTGCATGCATCTTGTATGTGTAGTGTAACCCCATTCATAGCTCATCAAAGTAGCATGTTTGCTTAGCTTGTGTTGAGTTCATTTCAGTAGGTTTTTGGTGATGTTTTACCATGCCATGGATCTGTTTTGGGTTGGTTTTGTTACTCCATGCTTGCATGATACACTTGTAGTGTAAATCCCCTAAAATAGCTTCACATACTTCATGCTTTGTCATGTCTTGTTAGCTTGTTTGGTTTACATTTCAGCATGTTTTTGGTAATGTTTTGCCATATCATGACCCTATCCATAGTTGGTTTGGTCCTCCTTTGCATGCTCCATATAGGTGTAGAACAAATCTTGTTTACTAGCCTCTTGTGCATGATGTTTCGACTCATCATCCTAGCATATTTTCGCTTTACTCTAACATGATTTTATGCTTATTTTGGGCTGTACTAGGACTGTTTTGGACTGCCATGGCCATATCACTCATGCTTTGTATAGGTATAGTATAAATGCTTAGGCTAGTCTTGGGTTTTGAGGCCCCTACCATGCGTTGTGTGAGTGTTTGCATGCTTTGAAGTCATTTCGGAGTCATTTAGTATGCCATTTCAAAGCTGGAATGTATGCCATATGTCCATGTTTATCTTCTTTTAAGTGTGCTTAAAAGTTGTCTCTTTGATGCTTAAGTGTTGGTCCATTTGCATGCATGTTTGTATGTGAATTTGCCACTCATTCCATAGCATTTTGGCCATTGTTTTGGGCCTAGTAGAGAGCTATCCATCTTGGTGTAAGACCATCCCTTACATGTTGTTGCATGCTTGCCTTACATGTTGTTACATACTTGGCTCATTAACATGTTGTTACATGTTTAATTGTATTTGGCATGCTTGAATGATTGCATATCTTGTCCCTTTACATGTTGTCACGTGTTCGTCTTGCATGCTTGAATGTCCATGTTGCATGCTTGTCTAGGTTGCATTGCATTTGGCATTCTTGTTACCTTAACATGATCATGTTGCATTAGTTTTGCTTGCATGCTTGCATCCCATCCCTCTTGATCAACCATGATAGAGATTGGTGGCCTTATGTGTTTACGTGCATTTCATTTGACATTGAAATTGCACACTTGGCCTCTTTGGCCATCACGCATTGAAATGCCCGATTGGTGGACCGAGAGTCGAGT